CGATGGGGGAGAGCTGATGCTCCCCTCCTCAGGTGCAGAGTTTATGGGAAAAGCCAGTAGCTCCGTGTTCCCGGACCCAGCACCCTGAGCCACAGCGGGGTGTGGGACCACCAACTCCACAGCTGCCAGCACAGGGTCCTTGGGCCCGTGCTGGGGACCACCAGGCTGATGGGCATCACATTTATCACTTGAGAGGGAAGAGCCTTGGCCATTTTGGCTCACCTGCCTCCAACACCCTCACGCTTGCTGCCCCCAAACCCACGACCCTTGGTGCAGCCCGACCTCAGCTCACTCACCACAGCACGCATCGCCAAGCCCCTGGCGCCTGGGGGCAGCTGGTAGCATCGCCTGTCTCCAAAGGCGGGTTTGGATAGCGCAGCATCCCTGGTGATGGGCAAGGCAGAGGGCAGGGGGTGAGGACCAGCACAGTGCCCTGTGCCTCTTGCCCCACAAAGCTTCAGAAACGTGAGGACAGGCTATGACAAGTGCCTGAGCCACTGGGGCCAGGAAAAGAGGGGCTCTCCCAACCTGCCTCAGCATCCCAGGATCACTCTGGGAGGTCTGAGGCTTGTCCCTAAAGCCACCCCTTGGGGCAACACCAGCTCCTGCGATTCCCCTCCTCACTGCTGCTGGCAGCTGCAGGCAGCTCCCTCTCTGTCTGCCTTGCTCCCAGCACCCAGGACAGGCAGGTGAATGGGTGGCATCGCCCAAGATGATCTTCCCACCAGCCGGCCCCTCCTGGACAGGGTACATTTGTCTCCCTTTTGCACTGGGAAGTAGGAGGAAAGTGCTCCAAAGCAACCAGCGTGGCCCAGCTGTGGTGCAGGCTCTGGCCGAGCCTTGTTCCCAAATCCTTATCCAGGGACACACATCCTAGGGACACATCCAGGGGCACAGCCCAGCCCTGCCTGGGGACACTCCTGGCTAAGGGACAGACCCACCTGAAGGGGCCATAGAAGCACGAAGCAAACTTGGCGCTGTAACTCATCACTGAGACCTGCAGAGGAGAGCAGAGCTGTGAGCCCTAGGAGCGCAGTGATTCCCCCCTTGTGGCTGTTTTATTCCCTACCCCACATCCTCCTGCCCCTGCCAGAGGCCTGGCACCTCGCCGCCTCCGTGTCCAGCCCAAGGACATTCTCCTCCTGCATGTACCAGGGCAGGGAAATGCCTGCAGCACAAACTGGGCAAGGCAGGGATTTGCTTCTCCCAGCGCTTTCCCAGGCCCCGCTGTGGCACAGCCTCCCCGTGGATGTCCCTCTTGCCTCCAGCACACGCAGATGCCGAGCTCACCTTGTTGCCCAAGTCGTTGGAGATCAGCGCCGTCTTCATGGCCGCGATGCGCCCATCCATCATATCCGAGGGGGCAACGATGTGGCAGCCTGCAGGGAGAGAGCAGAGACGCCGGGAAGTGCCCGAGGCTGGGACTGCCAGTATGGGGAGGTGGCCCCAGGGTGCCGGGTGCCTGCAGCTCAGCCAGGGCCAGTGTGTGGAGGGCAGGGGGAGCCTCCCCCAGCTCAGAGCAAAAGCACTCCCAGTTGAAGCCAGGCCCAGTTTGCTTTTGGGCCTGCTGACGGAGAGGGGGCGAGCCTGTGGGAGCCAAACTCGGTCACCGCTGCCAGGAGGCTGCCCACCTGCTTTGGCGTAGGCCAGCGCCACTTCTGCCAGCCGCTGGCAGCTGATCTCGTTCTGGATGGTGCCGTCTTCACGCAGGATGCCTAGGGGACAAACCCAGCGTTAGGCGAGGGGCCGGCTGCCTCGATCCCTAGGGTGGCTCTCGCTGCACAGATGCACAGAGCAACAGCGGGGAATGTGTTGAGGGAGCTGGATAAGGACCAGGAGACCAACAACACAGCCCTCCAGGGACTAGACACAACACGTGGGTGCTCCAGGGAAGGGAAGACAGAGATGGGGGATGCAGACGTGCGCTCAGATTCAGACAGCCAGGGAGTGGGTGCCTCAACCACCCTGCTGTCAACACCCAGGAGGTCTCCCAGTCTCAAGTGCACCAGTACTGGGGAGCCAAGTCTTGCAGCAGGAGCTGGCCAGGCCCCACCAGCACCCAGAGCCCCTCAGCCGAAAATGGCAAACCCCAGAGTGCCAGGAAAAGGCTCAAAGAGCAGCCCAGGACCCCCGGCTGTGCACTCACCGCAGTGCCCGTGGGAGGTGTAAGGGCACAAGCAGACATCGCAGGCGATGAGCAGCTCTGGGAAGGTGGAGCGGATCTTCTTGATGGCCTGGATGGCAGGCGTGTCCTCCGCATCAGCAGCAGAGCCTCTCTCATCCTGTGAGAAGAGAAAAACCTCAGCACACAGAGCCGAGAGCTTCCCCCCGGCTCCTCCGTGGCAGCAGTTCTGCCCAGGAAATGTTTCCTGAACCATGAGACCCCATAACCACCACTGATGGAAAAGGGCAATGGAGCAGAGCCTCTGAGCAGTGAGTGCAGGTCTCAGGGCTGCCTGCGAGAGCTCTGGGAGCTTTTTGGATGTCACTACAGCCTCATCCCCATCTTGTTCTACTGAGCAGGGTCCAAGCAAGACCAGAGACCCTAAACTGCTCCTGTTTGATCACGAGACCCCTCTGGCCCCACACTGCCCTCCCACACCTCTGCAGTTACCCCAAGCCCTGTGCCACCACCACACACACCAACCTTCTGGACCTTGCTGGGCACCCCGAAGATGAGCACGCACTTCAGGCCGTCCTCAACGAGAGGACGCAGCATCCCCTCCAGCTTGTTGACTCCATACCTGAGAAGAGCAAAGTGAAGGAGGCTGCCCGGCACCCAGGCCTGCTCTGTGACTTGGATGCTGCTCTGTGAGGGATCCAGCATCCACAAGCAGCCACACCAAGCAGGAGGTGCAGGGGAGGTGTTGTCTGAACGCAGCGGGGAACAATCCGGGACCTTATCTGGGGCTACAGGAGCGTTATCTACCCGGCATGGACACTCTCTGCTCTGAAAGGACAAGCGTGCCCTGCCCTTGGATCCCTTATCTCCACTTCCCGGTTGCGGATCCAGCCCACCTCCCCCCAGGACCATCCCCCTGGGGCCTCTCTGACCACAGCCCTGCTAATGCAGCAGCAGATGAAGACAGAGCTGCCAGTCCAGCAAGCCCTAACGCAGGACCAGAGCCCATGTCCTTGCACAGCTGCTGCTGGAAACCCCATTGGCTTCCAACTTCCCTGTGTGCCCAGCTCACACAACGTACGAGTGCACTGGGGCATCGCAAGAGCCTGCCAGTACTGGTACTTGCCCAGCACCCCCAGTATGATTCCCTCCACTCCCTTAGTGGATGAATGCTCCTGGCCCTGCCTGATGCTTGGGTCCCCCAAGGCAGGGACCAGAGAGCTGGAAGCATCGCCCCCGGCTCTTGCTTCTCTCAGGGCACGAGGCATGGCAGTGACTGCTGTGTAGTGTGGAGGGGCTGGGTTCTTACCTGGCTTGTCCAGGGAGGCTGGGGATCTGCTCCACTGCATCAGGGCTGTCACTGCAGGAGTGGGATGGGACAGAGATGTGAGGGCTTGGCGCGACAAGGAAGCCCCTACCCCAGGCTTGGCCACAGGGAACCTTTTTGGGAGTCTGAACTTATCCAAGATCTCAGGGAGCACCTAAGCCAGTCAACCCGAGCTTGGTCCATCCCTAACCCAGAGAGCCAGGGCTCACTCACGTGACAAAAATGGGGTAGATGAGGTTGGAGGCATTGAAGGTGGTGGCCGTACACTGCCAGGAGCGCAGCACGGGGTGGAAGTAGCCGCTGTGGAGAAGGGAGTCTGCCTGCATCTTGGGCGATCACTGGGAGGCTGTGGGAGGAGGCTCTGGAACAGAGGAAGACACCATCAGGCTGGGCAGTGGTGGTGTCCTGGTTCACTGCTGTATCGTCGTTGCTTCATTTGTTTAACTTTTACTTAGCGCTGTATAATGGTGTGACACAGCGTTTGTACACAGAGCGCTCATAGCTGCCCTGTGTAGCATCAAGTATTTTTGGCCACTGTTGAAGGTGCAGGAGCATCCTGAGGACACCCAGGCTTCAAACCCCAGTAACACAACTCCGGTGACCACTTACTGCTGGCTCAAAAAACCCTTGGGAGCTGGGCAAAACTGATCTGAGGGGTAACAAAGAGCAATTACTCCGTATACATCAATCGAGTGTTAGTTATGTTGTTGTTGAAACTTTTTCTGAAGTGATACTTTCTTCTTCTGTAACAGATCTGGTAGTAATTCTACAATTAGACCGTTCAGATTTAAGTTTCCGCTAGCACTGAATTCCCACCAACGCGTGATTCGTGAGAGAGTGACGGAAGGGGCCGGGGGAAGGCGGCTGCCCCGGGATGAGGCACTTGGCTGCAGCACAGAGAGCAGCAGGGAAACACAACCTGAACCACAGACTGTTTGTACAGAGCGCCTTCAAGGACTTCTGCTGGCTGCACGCACTGGGACACATCCCACCAATGCCCGGGAAACAAGCAGTAAAGTCCCCACTGGAGACCACAGGCTGGGCAGGAGATGGCCCCATGCTCTGGAAAACCTTTAATTTGAGGTGTTCACCTATTTTAACATGCTGAGGACCCTTTGGATATTCCAGCGCTGAGCCAAGTTCTCTGTATCAGGCCACCCCCGGGCACTGGGCACTTGTAATACAGAGACACTGCGTCAGCCCAGGACTCTCGTGTCCCCACCTCTGCATGGGGAAGGGGGAAAAGGCCTCTCTTATAGGCTTAAATGTATAAAAAACATGCATAGGAAAACCAGATGGTGCTTGTGGGGGATGCAGAGCAGCTGATGGGTGCCCTGGCAGCGTCACGGCACCACTTAGCAAGTGATTTTTATAGCCCTGGAAAGCTGCCGCTCCAGCCCTCACTGGCAGGGAAGGGGACAGCCCTCGGGTGAACTGGAGTTGGCAGCCCCAGCGCAGCAGCAGAGCTCCAGGCAGGGCAGTGACCGCGAACAAAGGGCTCAGCGAACAAAACCCACCTCCAGAATCCAAAAAATGCTTTAAGCAGTTAATCCCACTGGAGGAAGGGGAGGGGGCCGGGGTGGGACCAGAGGCACCTGGCTCTGTACGGGACAGATAGAGGCCACGGCTCCAGGGCCGTCCTCTCTGAAGGGGGCAGACGGTACCCAGCAGAAATGCAGAGCGGAGATAACGGCCGGGCCCCGTCTGCGGGGAAGCCAGGGGAGCCGGGGGCCTCCTTGTGTGCCCCTCACTCAGAAGCTGCCACCAGTCGAGGGCTGTGGGCTCCGGGTCCACGCAGGGCACCGGCTGGAGCAGGGCACCGGGGTCAAACAGCCACGGAGCCGCCTGACAGCCGGGGACACAGGGCAAGGACAGCGAGAGCATAGCGATAAGTGGTGTGCCAGATATGTTGTACCCTAAAACGGGGCTGTTTCCCCCCAGATCCCCTCTGGGCTCCCAGTAGAGTATGCACAACCCTTTCCTCCAACATTAAAGGCCCAAATCTGTATTTCTAAAGCCATTTGCTTCATGCACGCACACGGAGGAGGTTAAGAACAGCCCTGCAGCTCCCTGAGGGCTTCACCTTTGCTCCTCCACACCCGAACCCAAAAGCAGCACCCAAAACCACTCCTTCGCCCAGCCCAGGCCCGCTGCAGTGACCCAGCTGTATTTGAGGAACAAGAAGTGACTGCAAAATGAGAGACCCCACCACACACATCACCTTTCCTTTGCATTAGCACTAATAAAACAAACTTAGGGCTGAAGCCAGACCCAACGCACGCCAAGGGTGAGCGGCAAAGCTGATGGCACCACCAAGCCAGCAACTGCCTGTTCGCTACCGAGACACGAAGAAGTTGCTTTCCAGCATTTTAGGATACTGAAATGGATGCAACTTCATCCTTCGCACACAACTATTTACCTGGAAACAGTCGAAATCCCAGGTAGGAGCTAGGACAGACTGGCGTGTACTGGGAAGACGGAGCTCCCCAGGGCGCTGCAGGTTAATTAACAGTCATTAACAAAGGTCGAGATGTCATGGAAGATTTCATCTTCCAGGTGGGATCTGGAAATGCGTTCCCGAGCAAAAAATAAACGGGACTGCCCTTGCTGCCTGCAACCAAGCGCTGTCTCCCTGCCCAACCGGGCCCTGCCCCCGGCCCCGTCCCGATCTCCAGCCTCCGGGAAGCCCTACAAGGGGCTGGAGTCGGGGACCGCAACGGCTCCGGTCCCCCCGGTCCCCCCGGTCCCCGATCCCAGCACCGGCACTCACCGACCAACCTCCGCGTCCCGCTCCGGCCGTGAGCCTCTGCCGGGAGCACTCCGATTTGCATAACCCCGCCCATCTGATTAGCATAGACACACCCACTCCGCCGCGGGGTGGTGGCGGGAAGTCTCGCGCGGCGGAGCGCGGGAAAAGGCTGGAGGCGGCGCGGCAAGGCGGGAGGGGAGGGGCAAGGGTTTGCGGGGTGTAAGGGTCTGGAGTAAGGTTTTAGGGGTGTCTGGGGGCACGGAGCAGGGCTGGCGATGCTGTGGGGCCATGCAGCTGGGTTTTGGGGTGCTGCCGGGGCACCTGGAGCCACGTTTTGGGGTGCTGGGGAGGCCTGGAGCAAGGCTTTGGGGTGTTATGGGGGCGTGCAGCATGGCTGAGGGTGCCTGGAGCAGGGCTAGGGATGCTGGGAGGAGCAGGAGCATGGCTGAGTGTGCTATGGGTTTGGGGGAGCTGTGAGGGACCTGGAGGTGGGTGCTGAGGGTTGCACAGGGTGCTGGGGAGGCCTGGAGCTGTGCTTTGGGGTGCTGCAGGTGCTTAGAGTAGGTCCTTGGGGTGCTATGGGGACATGAAGCAGGGCTTTGGGGTCCTTTGCTGTGGAGACCTGGAGCAGGGCTTTGGGACATTGGGGAGGCCTCCCAGGCCAAGAGAGGCTGGAGCCACACGTGCAGGACATGCTGGTTTCTCCCTCTCATCAGAGCAGGGGGAGGCAAGGATGGGTTTTATCACATGCTGCTCTGCAGCTCCCACACAGGATCATCATCCTGGCCCACTGCTGTGCATGAACCCTAACCCCATCTCTCTCCTTGCTTTCCCCTCAGCAAGGAGGAGCTGAAGGCTCCTTTTCCAATAACTGGGAGTCTCCTTGTTCTTTGAAGTTGCTGTTGTAGCAGCCTCCATCCTCCCTCCACTGCCAGCCATTTCATAGCAAGCAAGCTCCTGCCTTCGCCACATGCTCAGATGTGTGCTTATGCAAACACCACCAGCTTATTTTATTACTGACAGAAATAAGAGACTCCCTTTCTGTAAAAAAACGGGCTTTTATTTAGATACTGTTCCCAGATATGCACTATAAGAGTAAAAAAGGAAAAACAAGAGGAGGATAAGGAGCTAGAAGACAGCCGGTTTTTGTTATTGGAGATCTTGGGAAGACGTGGTCAGCTCGGTCTTTTCATGTTACTGACTGCACACCAGTAGAAACCACACTGCAGAAAATCTTTGTTGATTTAGTTCTTTTCAGGAGCTGTGTGTGGAAACCACTGTGCTGTAAAAGCCTCAAAGCAGGGGAGCTGTTGTAGCTCTGCATCAATTGCTTGGTGAAAAGGCCATGCTGTTCCTCACAAGTGCTATTTAATGCTGCACGTGGGCAAAAATCGATGGGTTTTACTTGAACGTACCTAAAAGTTTCCTCAAGTTTCCTTCACCAGACCTTGGTTAAGTGCAAATATGAGGTTTATTGTCTTCCAAAAAAAAAAAACAACCAGGCAAATAATAAAGCATCTTTCCCCAAAAGGAGCTTATTCTAGCAGATACTTTCTCAGAAAAAGAGAAAGGCATCAAAACTAACAGTTCAAGTATAAAAGAACAAACCTATACGAGTACTAGAAATGCAAACAAGCTTGTGCCAACCCATCTTTCTTTTAAAAAACTCAAGCCTGAGGCTGGCCTTCCTCACTAGAAACGTCCTCCCCTCACCGCCCTCCTGGAGCCATCGCACCGGGAGGCAGCGCACCTCTCTGGGACAGCTGCTGAAGAGGGACCTCTGGTGTAATCAGTCCATTCCAATTAGGTAAAGAAATTCCTCCCCTCACCGCCCTCCTGGAGCCATCGCACCGGGAGGCAGCGCACCTCTCTGGGACAGCTGCTGAAGGCTAAAGAGGGACCTCTGGTATAATCAGTCCGTTCCAATTAGGAAAAGAAATTAACCCAACATGATAGATCGCACTATTCTACCACAACTAAATGTGCTGCAGTCACCAGCCTGGCTGCAGGAGCTGCAGCTCTGCAAAAGGAGAGGAGGTGAGACCCCCTGGCCCACCAGTGCCACTGACCTGCCCCAAGTGCACCGCCCGACACAGCCGCCTTTTGGCATCCTGATACACGCTTTAGCCATTAATTTTGCTTCATATTTTCAATAAAATTCCTCTCAGTCTCTCTCTCTTAAAAGCCACAAGCCAAGCACTTCTGGTATTTAGTTGACATCATGTAGTGCTGTGAAGTTCTTTGATTTAGGTTGATCTCTCTGATTTGGGGGAGTCAGCTGAGTGGCCGCTGGTCCCTGTGTACTGCGCTGCTGCGTCCGGCTGGTGACGTTGAACAGCACAGTATCAGCGTCACAGTTACAGCAGGAAGTGAAGGCACAGCCAGAAAGCAAGAAAATGAAGGAAAAACCCCAAATTAGTTGGATAAAAAGCTTCAACATTCAGCATCCAAGCCTCCTGACATTATCACGTGGACTCTAAACCCCAACGGTTTAATGATCTATTTGATTCAGCACCTGACTTGGTTTAACAAGCTTATTCCAGTCTCTCACGTTGTTCTCCTGGCCAGCTTCTGCAC